CCACTTGGATAAGTCTAATAACTATAATTGCAAGTATGACTTCAAAATCCGATTAGCAATCGTAGCTCTCAAAAGTCGCTGTCGAACTCTGACCTAGTCAATGACGCGTCCTTTAGATAAGGGATCATATAATCCTCCGTTCTGCAAGATATCGTGTTGACAAAGACATGAAACATAATCATTCTCAATGTCCAACAGTTTGTTTTCCCGACTTCTGATTTGTTTGACATAGAACTTAATTGAACACATCAATTTAGTCATGACCAGGCCCGACACATAAGTCAACACAAAATCATCAAGGGGCCCAAGATATCGCTTTTACCCTCTTAGGATAAAAGGAACATATAAGCTTTGACTTATATGCTTGTACTATTCACTCGTTAAATTTGTACACAATAACACGTTTTATAACTTACTGATGCGTTTATGCATTATCAATGCACAACCAACTTGTAAACAACAACTCATATATCTTGGTTTAAAGATTATACGATATTATCATCTCACAATCACTCGTGATAAATTCCATGAAGTGATTCACATAAGCGTGGGTTTAATCCAATACTCAAATTTTATTTCAGAAGTACCCACGAACGTTGCAGCAAACCTTTGCTATGTCTAAACACTTAGACAATCTACAAACCAATTCATGACAGTCTAACCTCATAACTTACTCCCAAAGTATGATTGATTGTGGATAATTTGAACAATCTAATTATTCTGGAGGTAAACATGCAAAAGTGAAACAATAGTAAACAATTGACATAAGATAGCAAACTTTACTCATAAATAAATCTCCATTACTTAATCATCAAATGTCAATTACATTTATCCATTACAAGTTTCTAAACATCTATCTAATCACTAAAACTAATATCGTCATTCAGACCAATGCTCCTCGCATGCTGTAAGGGCTTAACCCTGCTCAGACCCTTTGTGAGAGGATCTGTTGGGTTCTCCTCCGACGATACCCTATTGACTACGAGGAGTCCCTCTTCTACCCGATGTCTGAGGATGTGGTATTTTCTGTCGATGTGTCTGGATCTACCATGATCCCTTGGTTCCTTGGTCAAGGCAACCGCTCCTTCGTTATCACAGAAAATCTCCATGGGCTCCTTTATGGCTGGTACAACTCCAAGGTCACCAATGAAGTTCTTCAACCATATCGCCTCCTTCGACGCTTCGCTTGCTGCTATGTACTCTGATTCGCACGTTGAATCAGCCATAGTCTCCTGCTTGGAACTTTTCCAAGTAACTGCTCCTCCATTAAGGGTAAATACCCAACCCAACTGAGAGCGGAAGTTATCTCTGTCGGTTTGAAAGATGCTGTCACTATACCCTGTCACTCTCAAGTCATCACTCCCACCAAGTGTAAGGACCTAGTCCTTAGTCCTTCGCAGGTACTTAAGAATGTTCTTAACTGCTGTCCAATGAGCTCCACCCGGGTTCCCTTGATATCGGCTAACCATGCTCAACGCAAAAGCCACATCAGGGCGAGTACATGTCATAGCGTACATGATTGAGCCAATGGCGGAAGCATATGGTACTCAACTCATTTCCGCTATCTCGGCATCGGTACTCGGACTCTGAGTCTTACTCAGCTTGGTATTTCTTTGAATTGGCAGTTCCCCTTTCTTGGAATTCTCCATGCTAAAACGTTTCAGCACCTTGTCCAAGTAAGCACTTTGACTAAGTCCTATTAGTCTCCTACTTCTATTTCTCAAAATACTTATCCATAGAATATAAGCAGCTTGCCCTATATCTTTCATAGCAAAACACTTCCCAAGCCAGGTCTTAACCTCCTGCAAAGTTGGGATGTCGTTTCCTATGAGTAGTATGTCATCAACATACAAAACTAGAAAGCTAACTATACTCCCACTAGCTTTGACATACACACAGGACTCATCTTCGCTTCTCAAAAATCCAAACTCTTTGACTTTCTCATCGAAACAAAGATTCCATCTGCGAGACGCTTGCTTTAATTCATAGATGGATTTCTCAAGCTTGCACACTCTATTTGGGTACTTCGCATCTACAAAACCCTCTGGCTGACACATGTAAACATCTTCAGCCAGTTTCCCATTAAGGAAAGCAGTCTTGACATCCATAGATGGATTTCTCAAGTTTGCACACTCTAGATCTGTCGACATAGCTCTTTCGCCGACTCTGAGCTGTTTGGAGTCTACTCTGAACCTGCTGAATCAAATCGGTAATCTTGAGTATCACTTCGGTACTCCCCATGACTCGCTGACCGACCTCAACCCAACACATCAGGGTCCTGCATTTCCTCCTATAGAGCATCTCAAAAGGAGGTCGATCAATGTTAGCGTGATAATTGTTTTTATACGAAAACTCCTCCAAAGGGAGATATGTATCCTAACTCCCACCGAAATTCAAAACACACACCCGAAGCATATCCTCCAAGGTTTGAATGGTCCGCTCGCTCTGACCGTCAGTCTGCGGGTGGAAGGCCATACAGAAATGAAGACGAGTACCCAACTAGTCGTGGAACCTCTTCCAAAATCTGGAAGTAAACCGGACGCCCTTGTTTGAAACCATAGAAATCGACACTCCATGCCGTGCCACGACCTCCCTGATGTATACCTCATCCAACTTCTCCGCAGAGATACTCTCCTGAATCGGAATAAAATGCGTGCTCTTGGTCAATCGATCCACGATGACCCAAATCGAATCCACTCCACGCACAGTCCGAGGCAACTTCGTAATGAAATCGATGGTGATCTCCTCCCATTTCCAAACGGAAATATCTAACGGCTACATCTTTCTGTGAGGCCGCTAATGCCCGGCCTTGGCTTTCCTGCAAGTTAAGCACCTCTCCACGTACCAAGCTACATCCCGCTTTGTAACATCCCGTCGTTATGGTACTTCTATTTTTAACCCTTATGATTTTATTATTTTTTAAATTGGACCCTAAGGGCAT